AGGTTGTATATGCAGAGTCACTTAATCGTTAGTGAAAGTGAAATACAAATGAACCGTAATGAAAACTATACATTCGCAGCTGCAGCTCGCCGAGGAGAAAACAGTTAATTGCAAACATTTTTTCGATTCAGGAAAAAGCGACTTCTGACGCTGGAGCAAACTGCTCAGGAATTTCGTATAAGTAATACAGTAGCATTCGTAGCTGCAAAGTGAACCGCATCGTTTGCATAGATTACATACGGCGTTTTTATGTAGTTTAGCGTTTTTTTATAACTCATAATGAACAGTTAGTCTTATTATGTCACTTTGACCCACAGCAGTGGCGGCTATTCAAGAAAAGACGGTGAAGAATATCTTCACTTACTTTCTATGCTTATGTTTTAGAATAAAGAAGGCTCTAAATCAGGGGTGGGCAAATATTTTGATGGTCGGGCCACATTTCAGATAAAAATTTGAACTCGGTCCAAACAGTTTTTTTCTAATTTTAAGTATAGTTTTTGCTAAGGATGTCAATTAATGAATTTTAAAACCAACAACGAGTTTGCCCGGCTCTGTACTATAGTTATAAAAAGAAAATGTTATGCTTTCAGGAAATTTCTTTTGTCAGTTAAGTTTATTTTCGCAGAAAGCATGGCACCAATAAAAAATAAATCATATAGTAAGCAAGTCGATCAAACGTTACTTGGAATTGCAACAATAAGTTACAACGGGCAAAAAGCCGCTGTTTTTTTATAACTTTTGAGAAAATTAGTTCAGACTCTTCGAATTGAAAAATATGTTAAGCAAATACATCAGTTTCAGTTTCATTATTTCTTTAGTGTTTTACGATGCATGCACCTTCAGTAGATCTATATCTGCTTTTATTTCGTTTAATTTTCGGCGAATTTATTGCGGAAAGATATTTCTCCAAATTAAAATTAATATAAAATAACTTGCGTTCTACTATATCGCAGGAGAAAATGGCGGCTTTAGATTTAAGTTATTTTGTTTATTCATGCAATAATGTGATATAATAAGTATAATAACTAATAAAATTGTGCGACTATTATACATACTGTAATTGTTCAATTATCATAATTATATTTTCGAATAGGAGGCGCTGAAAAGAGCGGTTGTCCAAGAGAAAATTTTGGCTCCCACCGGCCCTGATAATGTGTATAAGTATTGCTTAATATTTTATCTAAAATTTTTTATGCACCAATTTATGTTAGACAAAAACTAATATTTGTGTTTTTAATAATAATATATACAATGCTTCACGGGCCAGACAAAATTCTAACGCTGGCCGGATACGGCCCGCGGGCCGCCATTTGCCCAGGCCTGCTCTAAATACATGAGTCCTATAATCGTCCTTCACTAAAAAAAAAATACAACGTGTAATTATACAACACGCTACTGAAGTGAAACTTCTTCAAACACACAAATATACCTGGATAGGGGTTAAGGAATTAGTTTAATCGTATTATTTGTATACTATCCTTCGCACGGGTGCAATGCTGATAGTATTTATATACATATAACAATCACAGCTTTTTTGTCATTAGACAATACAAACCGGCCGGTACCGCCGCAACCGCTATGTCCCTCCATTTTAAATCTGTCATATCTTCGAAAATATTCATTCAAATTACATGCAGTAGCCATATTAATCTATATTAAATGCACAAAGTATTTAAAATTACTTAATTGGATAAGGATTAATACTGTATTGCTTAAAATAGCTTCGTAAATAAGCCATTATTTCTCGTAAAAAGTAAAGGATAAAAAATGGTTTTTGTGGGTTATCCCTAAGAGATAGACATATACTATTCCGGACTTTTTTGTAGACCTTTTTAAGGTGTACAATACTGTAGTATATTATTTTAATCTATCTCGTAGGGTTCAGCCAGCGTTTGCAATGTAAGCGCAAAAAAATGTGTTTATTTACGACATCACATTA